AATATGATGTTGATTTACAATATTCATCAATTTAACTTCTGTTCACTGTGAAAGAGAGACAGCGTTAAATTGTGCAAATGGTAGCCCTTCTAAAGACAGATTACGAGATGGTGAAAGTCCTGTGTGGGGAAATATACACGCTGCCAAATGAACTGCACATAAATCTACTCAGTCAATAACCAGGATACGGATTGCATCCTTCCTACTCGTGCTGAATGCTATCCTACCATATGAAAAGCTCCACTGCAATGAAAATAGACACTAGCAAGGCAGAAAAAAGACTTGTCTTTGAAAACAAAAGCCTGTCGCGAATATAAGTTTCTATTCCCACCACGACCACTCCCAATTTACCATATTACAAAGCAGTAATAGTTCACAGCGTAATACATTTGGATACCAATCTAGGTGATACATCTACTGTCAGAAAAGTAACATGTAATGAATCACATTATTCCTCCAGTGTTTTAAATAGGTAGAAACAATAATAGAAGATCTGCCAAGGAAGTTCATAGTTCTGATTTTATACTGTCTACAACTCTTCAGACTAAAAATAATTCACAGATATAATTTTCAGAATTAGCATTTCTATTAAAAAGAAAACCAGACTCGTCCTAGTTGATTTTAGACATTGACTTACCAGAATAATTCCACTGAGGCAGATAAATGCATTTGCATGAATAAGGACCTGCACTGCAGGACTTCATAAAAACATAAAATGATAGCCTAGGAATCAAGTCAGAAATTTTGACAAACAATTGTTTTATAACTGCAATGCGATTAATTCATTTGACTGAAACTAATTACAACCCTAAAAATATGGGAATTCAAAAAGAGACACGAGGAGAATTTAGGTACCTCCAGTCAAAACGGTGATGCTCCAGGCCCCTATCTCATTCTGGAGACATCTATTCTCTGAAGACAATATCATTTTCTATGGTAAGATGGACCAGACACAGGAGCTGCATCTCTGTGCATGGCCAGAGTTTACCTACTCAGCCAGGACTGAACATCTCAGTGTACACCTTACGTCTAAGCCTGACTGCGATCCAGAAAGGAAGCCCACCCCTGCATAGATGATCTGAGGAGTTTGGTCCAACCGGTGTTCTCAAAGCCAGCCTAAGCCAGCCTAATAAGCACCAACCACGTGGGTTTCCTACAGAGTTCTTCAGGAGCTATTTCTTTCTAAAATGGTACATGAACAGCAGTCATTCCTAGCCTAGCAGCAGGACTACTCATCCCAGAAGCTAAACTCTCAGGTTGAATTCCTTCCTCAGTCCAAGACTCAAAGCAACGTCTCTTAGCAGAACGTTCTGATCAATAGGCTGCAATAAATGGCAGGATGAGGATAGGGATATATTAAAGCTCTCCTGTTGAAGCTGTATCACTGTACAGAAAATAATTCAAGACTCATTGGGCCAGAGAAAGAACACAAGAGGGAGCAAGAGTCTGTAGCCTAGTGATGCTGGCACTCAGCTGGGAAAAGGAGTCTGGGGTTCCTGGCCTTTGCTCCATAGAAGGTTCATGTAATTTATCTAACAGCCTTTCCATAATGTAAGCCTTAGTTTGAATCTGGCTACGTTTTCCTTCTTGACCCAATAAATAACATTTTGTGTAATCACATTTACCAATTTGAATTTTGCAAACATCAACGTCTTTTGTATGCTTTTAATGCTAAATTGTAAACAGAGAACATAAAAAAATGAAATGTGCCAAACCCCTAGAGCTTATTTCGTATTAATTTTGCTTTATATGTATATAAAATATAAGAAACTTACTTGACAGCAGGTTAAAAATAATATTTAAATGCAAATACATTTATTTACCTGTGTCAATAATGCTGTTTTGAATTACTAAATTGGAATTTATTTTTCATCTCCTCTTTCTGAGGATGTGGTAAGATTTTTAAGAAGTTATAGCAACAGTAATAGACTTCTCATCTCATAATTCTGCTCAGTTTCAGTTTCTGAGTCTCACTTAACATTATTTTCATTCGCTGGTTCTCATTCCCTAGCACAACAGTGCAATGTCATGCAGGCGACTGTTTAAATCCAAGCAAGTTTACCCTGAAATTCCCACTCCAACAATTTCACGGACATATTTCTGTTTTTGCTAAACATTCTTTTTATAATAGCTTCATTTTAGGCCTAAGCCTACATAACAGGGTCCCTTTAAATAATATTCCATGCCTTGAAAGACATTACAAAAACTGTTACATCAAGGCAAGTTATGCAACAGCTCTCCATGGTTTTAGCATATTTACTCTGTCACGCCATATGTGAGACTGCAGCCTCCACAACAAAACCTTTACACACTGAAGTCATTATCTCTGTGAAGTCTGCAACTGGCATTTAAAACTTATTGATGGCCTGGGTATTGGTGGCTCAGTAGGCAGCACTCTTGCCGGAGGCCCACAAGGTCAGAGGTTCACGTTCTGCTCAAAGAACAAGTTGGACATATTCCAGGATTGTGTGTGGGCTGTGCTAGACTCCTAAAGGGGCAGTCCTTAGGACAGTAAGTGAAACCTTGTCTGTTTTGTGGATATCAAAGTCCTCTTGGAAATGGAAGAGGAAGAGTAAGAAGCAAGTGAATGAAAATGAGCAAACTTGCCGGGGACCTGGATAATATGGAACGGTGCAACTACAGTATACTGAACAGTTTTCAACAAGACATTTTGGTTTTTGTGGTAAGCACATGTTCAAGAGACAGGTACGGACTGCCAGGCATGCTCAGTATTAGCTAGCTTCCATAATAGCAGAATGACTTTGGATGCAATTTCACACCATGAAACTAGAAAAACCCACGTGTAGTTTCAGTGAGGAGCCTAAACAAAAAAGGTTTAATGCTGGTAAAACTTCAGAGCATACTATATAATTACTGAAAAAAATCTTCAGCCAAATATCCGAGTCAATACTAGCAACATATATAGAGAATAATATAAATGGAGATTCAACCTGCTCTGGTGTTAAACTTTGATACTTGAATATCCCAGATGTCTCCCTCCTCCTCTTCTTCTTTATAGACAGGTAAAGATGGATCTCTTGAAGGAACTGGGGATCACACTCTAGGCAAAGGTTGGACAGGTGATCAATGTACAGCATGAGATTTTGCCGTGGCTATGTGCCTCCAACAGTGACTGGATCATCTGGTTTAGAAAAACAATTCAAAATTGTAATATTTTCTAAAAAACTTATTTAGGGAAAAATTAGCAAAAGGGAGAACAAATGATTTTTATAACATGGAATGTATCACAGAACTTCTTCCCACAATTATATAGTTCATTTTAAAAAAATCTTTTATTTCTATTTAACATTAGGTTCATTAACTTCTTAATTCCTTAGAAGTTAGCTTTTAGAGGATCGTATCCCATTTCCATCAGCAGAATGTGTTCAATAGTTACCAATAAGATATGAAGCTATTCTTGGAAGTTTCAATTTCTTTTTTTTTTTTTGGTGTCTAACACAACCATACAAAGTGCCCAGGCCAGGCCTGGCCCATTATTTAAACAGGCTTTGGAGCAAGCCACTATTTATTAGCCAAATGGGATTCTACTCTGTAGTGTACTCCAGGTAAGTACTCACAGAGGTTAATGTTTGTTAATGAAGATTCATCTCCCAACATTCCCTCCATTGTCAATAGCCTGAAAGAGCATTTTCTAAAGGACCATTCAGAGCATCTAAAGTGAGACTGTTTCTTCTAGCATTTAGAAACATCACCTTTTATCTACCTATCTTGTACACAGGGCTTTTTTTTTTTTTTTTTTCCCCACCATCACATTAAAACAAATAACACCCTCCTTCCCAGAAACATCCATCAGTATAATGGACCTTTAGGTTTAAGTTTGGTGAAATGAACCTGTATTTAGCAACAGTGTTTACACACAGCAAGAGAGATCATGAATTACAAGCATCATGACATCTTTAGGCTATCACAAAATTAATGTGTAAGCAACGACCTTCTTAACCAAAACACGGTAATGACGGCATTATTTCTAGTTTAGAAACAGAAGAATCCATAGCATAATCCCAGTGCAAATTTGCAAATAATTACAAGTTCATTTTGTCGCTAAAATATGAAAAGAAGCTATTTGAAGGAATGAAGGATGTCCTCTTAACCTGTGACAACAAATTTGTTTGTTTTTTTCTCTTCTCAGTAAGAAAGTAATTAGGTTTTTTTCCAATAAAAATATCCTTGTCCACATATAAACACTCCTGGTAATCATGTAATTACCTTACCCAATCAGATTAAATTGCTGACGGTTGAGTTCCCACTGTTGATTAACTTTTGTGTACTCTAAACCTAAATGAAGTCTTTGGTAAAGTCACTTAGTCATTTACAAAGGTGTCTCTATGATTCCAAAAAGTATAACAGCAACATATTATTTGCTATAATCATCAAACATCCAAGGTCACGGATAGATCACAGTGGACCCCTTTTTTAAAACCCAAAGAAATACAGAATTAAACTATGTTGCTTATTTTTGTGTTTCTTGCCATGACTTCTAAATGTAATAGTAACCTTTGACCTCCACACATTAAACACCATAATTATGTAATTAAAACTAATTATGCAATTTAACATACATATTTTTGTCCTACAACAGGCAGGTCAATTACCTCACTCATTGACCTTGGAAGCCTTCACAGTTTAAACAAAACAATGAGGCTTTCAATTAATTTTAAAGTACAAACAGAGAAGGAGCAGCAGAACCACAGGTCTTCAAGCTAATATTGCATAGACGGCTCACTTACAAATCTCTTCCATTTTGTATTACATAAAATTAATCCCTTGATAAAAACTTCTAAATGTCTTTCTTATATGTTTCTATCATTAGAAATGTTAACACATTTGTGAACAAATCATATTCATGTTACTTCCAAATGCAAGCAAGAAAGGAGGCCATATATTACTGTTTTCTTTGTCTCACTTCTTTTCTTTAGTATGGCTTCGTTTGCTTCCACATATATTTCCCTACCTCTCTCTCTGTTTCACCTTCACTTTCTGAGGTATTTTTCATTCCCCTTTTTTCTTCATTATCTTCTGTTGCATTGCTAGCTGTAAAACTTGACAGCAATTTATATATTATTAATCTGCTGTAGCTGTTGTCTTTTCAAGTTTCTGCTTGCATCCCCAACCCCATTCCCAGGATGGTGTTTCTCATCAGATCCTGGCTCCTGCCGATGATAATCCAGCACAGCGAGGGAACTCTGCACTGCAGAAAGCTAGATCTAAAACAAACATGGTACATACTCTGAAAAAACATTCTAAATTTTCCAGTGCGGGAAGCGTGGTACAAGTGAAAGACGCTTTATGAAATTATTGAAATACATTTCACCTGGATAATGTCTTTATTCTCTTCATACACTTAGGCAAGCTACGTAGACTGCACTGAAAATTTTAAAATTGTACAAGAGACTCATGCAGTATTACATTGTGTCCAAGGAACTTCTTTCTTTTCACGGAGTAAAATTATCATCATAGTTCAACCATCTTTTTATTTTTCAGTAAACTAAATCCCATTCACTAAAGAACAATTCTTAATGCAAGTATAAACCTAGGAGCTCTTCATTAAAAAGGCTCATGTTCTGCTATCCTGTTTTTTCAATTGCTATCTTAGCCACAAACAGTTCCACTGAAGTTCATAGGTTTAGTTGTGAAGTAAAGTGCCAGACAACGTATGTATAGATATACCAGTCAAGCTTTAAGTTGTTTTCTCTAAACCTTGTTCTGTTTTGGGATCAGAAAATAGCTACTGGCAAAACACAAATGCAAAACTTTGCTAACTTTTTGAAAGTAAGGCAAAAATATCTACAGCACACTTTGTGTTTTGGTGTCGTTTCTAACACCATTTGTGGAGTCCTTTTGGTTTTCATCTTTAATTAGTCCTGACTTGCACAAGCAGCTCAAAAAGATATCAGTAAACCTTTAAATAATGGAAACAAGGAGCACTGAACTCTGAATGAGGAGTTACAATAGGAAAGAAACAATTTAAGATGGTAGTAGGCCTTATTGCAACATTAAAGCTCAAATTGGATCTGATTTATATAAAATAAACCAATATATTGAAAGAGTGCCCCAAACTTCTGGACAATAGTTTGAAGTAAAATAATATAGTGCATGTGTAGAAATTCTATCCAAGGGAATGAAAGAGATTATTGTTTATACCCTGATTTCACAAAAAGGTTCCTCCTGTTTTGAACGGAACATTAAAATTCTAATTCAGCTCATAGAGCATCCTAAACAGAGCAGCAAAAGAATGTGTGAAGGAGTCCAAATATGGTGCTATTGAAACAGAGTGGATTAGAGGAATTGGGACAGAATCCTACAAGTAGCTAAATAGCAGCAGGAGATCAGCTTCACAAACAGCAGGATGCTGTTCTTCCCAGACATGAGTGACATAATACAGGCAAAACAATCAAGATTTTAGCCGATAAATGTATGCATTAGGAAAAGGCCTTGCTGTAGAACTTCCATACTCGACAAACTTCCAGGTAAATTCTGTAGACCTAATTTACACTGGAGAGTATTTTGTCTTACATGAACGTATCATGTCCATCAAGTAAAACAGAATCCTTTATAACATAAAAGATAATAATTTTAAGAGCTTAAATGCAGAAAACAAGAGAATATTTGCTTAACAATTCAGTAAATGGATAAAGCCAAAAGCTTTTGTATTTTGACACAGCTTCAATTTTGTCCTGAGCAATTCTATGTATATTAGGTTAAATATATAAAAATATATTAGCCCAAATATCTAGGACATCTAGCATAAATAAGTAACAGAATCTATGTAAGCCTATTAATTATTAATAAATTCCATATTATAGCAGTTGTATTAGACAAGTTTTATGGTTCTGAAGGGAACACTTGCATTTGTAAAGAGACAAACTGAGATACCAAAATAAGATGCACTGAAGAACATCATGACATTTGCAGTAGACACCTAAAGACTGAATTCCCTGAGCTTTCTCAGCACATAACCAGAAGTTCACAGTATCATCTGATCACAAAACAGGCATTCCACATCATATAATTGAGTGAGGGAACATGACAGATGATGTCTGCATTTTGATAATTTGATGGACATGGAAAAGAAATTTGTGGTCATTTCTTCTGGAGAAAGACCAGGTCACGTTCTTGCTAGTTGGCTCCAGTCTATGGATCTTGTAACAAGTTGGCGATCTGTGATGTTAATGTGCATGATTTCTGGAGATCTTTCATAAAACTGTATGATCAGGAATTTGAAATGATGTAGACATAGCCATAGTTATCAGCAGTTCTACCTCTAGTACCCCGCTCATCTGAAAAACAACCAGATGATGCTGCTTTTCTACTACCTGCAGCATTGTGCAGTTATTGAAACACGTAGTCATCTTGTTCTCATCACCACAGGGAGTGTGACTTACTTACATGTGCGGATGTATTGCACATTTATAGCATGTTTGGTACAGAGCAGAGCAGCTCTGTAAAAGCTGATTAAGACATTATGTTGAACTAAAAATTGGATGCTTTATGAATATCTGCGTTTTGGCCTTTCCCCAAATGTCTTCCCCCCACAAAGTGAGAGAGAACAGCTGGAGTAGACTAACTTTCTGTGCACAAGAGACATTCTTCTTTCTTTTTGAAGGTATTACTTGTATGTTATTACATTTACATAAAAGATCTTTATTCTTTCCCATATATAGTAAATTGCACTCCAGTATGTGAACGTTGTTTGGCCATTTCCCCCCAAAACACAAAATAAAATTATCCTCACTGTCATTCAAGCTTTTTTTCTCCCCATTACAAAGAATTGATGCAGATCTATTTTTGTTTGGTCTGTTTTATGCTGACAGCAATTAATTCTAAAGCCTGCAGCATAAAGACATACAAATATCACATATGTTTTTAATCTACAAGCAAGTTATCCAATTATTTTAGGTAAACTTTATGATCACAACCATTCTTACCAACTCTGATATGATACATTATTTTCTTCCTAATGGTTTAAGACTCATATACACTGCTATGGAGAATATACTCTTGAACATTCCTCATGTTTTACCTCCTGATCTTGAAATAATAATATAATCAATGAACTCATTTTGTTTATACTGATTAGTAAAAAGACACTAAAAGCATGCTGGGAAATAATATTCCATGCCT